CTTGTGTATGAGAGCGAGATTTGCCACCATGCGACCTTGATACCAGGACGGTGGTGGATCCTGGTATTGGTTTACTCTTAGCTAGGCGTCCTGGTGGAAACGCCGGACTCCTTCTCAGCTTGGGAGACACTGCCGGGGGATGAATGTCCCCTCTGTACATCACAACCCAACACCCAGGAACATCCCAGCCACAATAAAGCGGTAGACCGTTGGGAAGATTTTATATAATACTGTATATTACTTTGTATAATACAGGTACTGTTCATTTTCCGTATTGCATCTCTTTTATGTTAATTTTGCAATAAGATATTTAGTTTAAAGAAAATCTCTAGAACCTTTATAGAGCAGTTTCTTTTGAATTCAACCATATTTCGATAAACTAAGACAAATTACCGTCCAACTATTTGTTATAAACAACAGTTATAAGGGGTACCGGGGACATACAGCCTTATCCTTGGCGACGTCTAATCAGAAAACACTATTGATGGATTTCAACAGTATCGAAGTCTTTAGTAAATATGGAAGGATAAAGATATCGACCTTTGTCAGCCTCCAAGTGATACACTATGCATTCAACTCCATTCGTAGCATCATAGAGACGATTGAATGCATATCTGTCCAGTACAATGAATCATGGTAGTCAAGTAATGTATCAAGATAGTGCCGCTATCATTCCAGACAAGTCTGCTACCAAATTCCGATAGCAGAAGGTTAGAAGCCTTGCTTGTCCTGGAGCCCCTGGGTCGAACCAATAACCAAGTGTCTATGGCCTCCCACTCTTAACCATTGCGGTAGAGCCACTCCTACTCTAATCGCATTCTCTTACAAATGACGTCAGAATACGATTTATTAGGTGACAGATAGGGCATTTAGAAGAAGCATAGATCTTGCTATATAGCTCCACTTCTATAACGCTCAATTTTATCATCTACATGGCATAGTAGTAGGTGGCTCAGCATGTATAATGTTTAGTTTTTCAGTTTACAGGCGACAACTATGAGGATTTGAAATCACAGTGTTTAGCTTTTACTTGCTGCCTATTATTTTTCATGGCAGGGTATTGTGTGAAATACAACCACAAGGCTGCCAAGATATGAAAAAGACTCGGGACCCCAGGTGAACTTCAAAGCCACGATTACCATTGCCGAGAGTGCACGTGTTGCGTTACCGAGGCCCTTGCCTTACCTTTCTCTCAGCCGGTTTTTTTTACCCTAACGATGCTATCAGCAATCACCCGTCAACAGGAATGATTTGGGGCGCACAAATCGGCATTAGTTCACCTGGTGTTCCGAGTTTTGCTCATATCTCAGCATCATTGTGGTTTTATTTCACATAATACCTTTCCGTGAAAAAATAGTAAGCAGCAGAGTTACTAAAAGTGAAACATTGCGTTCTCAACTGCACCTTCAGTTTAGCTGTGTTCAATGCAGATTTGTGCTTTCCGTTGACAAGTAATTGCTGGTAGCACCCTTAAGGAATGAAACTGGCTGACAGAAAAGCAAATCAAGGGCCTCAGTGGTATGTGTACACGTGATGACAGGTACGCCCTTGGAAAAGGTAGTGGGTTTGAAGCTGACCTGGGCTCCGAGTTTTGCTCATATCTCAGAATCATTGTGGTTATAGGCATCCGTTTTCATTGCGTCATATAAAAACCCTCTTATGTTGACTTTTCAAAGTGATATGATACTGTGATAGTTAGTAAGATATCTTATCATTTCTAAGCACTACCGTTCCACAAACTAAGAGCCAGCTCAACATTTTTTAAAGTATTCTTCCGATTTATATTTCATTCATAACAAAGTTTGCTGAGTTTCGGAAAATTCGTGCCTGGTGCACAATTGGGTCGTCGCCGTCATTTAGGGACACTAAATCGTCAGGGTCCAGCGTAAATCCCTCACCAATTATACGGCGATCACTCGCTTGCGAGTAGTTTGGCGTTTTAGTGGAAAATGAAAAAAAGGAACTGGTAGGAAGATAATCTGGCAGCCTACTGAACAAACAGAGCTCTTAAATATCATCGGAGCTGAGCTTAAAGGTGTACGGTATCGAATGTTAATCGTGAATTTCAACACGTTTCGTAGATGCTGAATAAAATGATTTGCTACTTATAAATGACAAGTAGGTCCAACCATGTCAAAGTTTTTTTTCTCTTTTGAAGAGGCATTAATCGAAGCATTTTTGCGGGCACCACCAAGTTGTTCTACGTAATTGGAACTATCGTCAACCTAACCTTTGCTCTCTATTTGGTAAGTAGATTAGTCAATTCTCGATAGTACAAGATGAATACCACTGAGTTCTTCTGAATGGTCGTCCTTCAATCAAAGTGCGCTTAATCGGATCATCGCCAACGTCATTCAAACGAAGAGATGGAAGAAGGTGGACGATAACGGCATAAGAAATGGTTCATCACCCTTCTACACAATCCCATCATTGATCGAGTCGAATATTGATAGATATGTTAAATCGAAATTGTTGAGATTGACTTATAGCATAATACTTACTCACTAGTAATCGGTAACGGATAACAGGTAAAAGCGTTCAGCGTTATACGTTCCCTAAGAGGCGACTCATGGATTCGAGTCCATTTCATAACATCGCAGAAGTGGCTGAATGCATATTTTGCCTACTTAAATGACTTGCGGAGGTTACCGATGTATCATGTCCGTGTTTTTTGCCCTCCTAAACAAGTATGGCAGCAATTTGACGGCCGTGGAGGATGGGTTGGGTTAAGTTAACCTAGCCCTGGACAAGAGATCAAATCGGTATTCTTATGTGTACTTCAGAGCACATTTAATCACTACCCTACAATAACCCAACATGATTAATATGCGAATGAATATGAATACGTGAATGAAAATGATATTCGAATTATCTCCTAAAGCGCACTTCCAGCATATGCGTGTTTTTTGGATTAGAGACTGGTCATCGTAATTGTTGTATGGTGAGCACATCGATAGGTAAACACGTATGCATTTAACCAGCGCGATTTTGATTTGCTGTCTATGCAGTTGGGGACCAAATCCGGTTAAGCGCTGTGTGAATAAAATTAGGTCCAATTGTCCCTCTTATTCAAATTTAACACCAAAATCTGGCAAAACATCAATTTTTATGCGCTAACCAGTAATAGGTACCCTACCTGATTCCTTGCTTCCTTTCCTCTTGTTGTTTTTCACTTGTCTGCTTATTTATTTACCGATTAGAAATTCTATGATTGTGCTGAATGGCGCAATTGTTCCATCTTGTTCTATCGTAATCCATCTTTGTAGTGTTTCATTGTCGTTGGAAGCGTTTCTGCGTTGCCCGTAGAACGTGGACGAGTTGTCGACCTATACGATTCATCAAAAACATAGATGTAACCTTTTTTCTGCCATTGTCGACAGAAGAGGAAATAATGTAACCAATGCGATGAGGTGGAACATGTCAGCGCATAGTCGATGGTTCAACACCACCTTCCATCTTCAGAAATTGTATAGAGATTCGTGTACGATGGGAAACTCATTTTTTTCATGACCATTGCATCAGGCTAACTAAGTCTCTGTCACTCGAAGAGAATGAAGAAAGAGGGTAGACATAGAGGAATGAAGAAAAAGAACTCTTCTTATAGAATTTGCGGTAAATAGCACCACAAACAGTTATCTTTAACACCGAGGACTTTTATAATGTACACGCGGTTTTCAGCATTTCACTTTGATATTCGAACTCATCATTACAGCAAATATTGCACGTGAAATGTTGCGTTGAGCAATGGTTAGAGGTACCCTGCAATGCACCTATAGCCGTTGGATCGATCCCGCGTTCAGGGTGGACCAAACTCTCCATAGCTCCAGGGTGAGGCAAGTTGGAACTAAAGTTGTCTAAGAGGATAGAATACACTGGTATGAAATACCGCTGTGATCCTCAACGCATTGGACAGGCTAGATATACGTTCGATTACCTCCACGATGCTACAATTGGAGTCAAATGGGAAGTATATTCTGAAGTGATCGAAAACGCCAAATGCTTTTCCGTTCTATCTTTTATTGTATGGTAAAATTCAATGTTCGAAAGGATGGTTCAGATTACGTAAACTAGAGGAATGACATCGTTTATTGACCTTCATTCTCCTCCTGACTTTTCTTATGTTGAATAGGGCTCACTATAGGGGGCCATCGCAGCATTATGAGAGTATGACCATGGGTTTCAGATGTAAAACGCGGTCATCGTTTCGACGCACACCCGATCGGTGTTTTACATAGGATAATGCGATACAAATATCTCCTACCTACAAACCTTCCTCACTCATGGAAAAAAGTTAAGTCTCACATAGAAGTGGTCGCATGCAAGTGGTGATCTGTGATAAGCCTAAAAAGGGCTCGTGAAATGAAAAGGCGTAGCTTGAATGGGCACAAATTCCTTCAAACTGCTTAACAACTGTTGTAGTGAACATACGACAGCTGGAGAGCTTGTCACGAACATCTCAACAAGAAGCTACTCACTTTGACTTTGTTTACCTAAATAGGTTGTAGTGTCCGTTAAAAACAACCGAGTGAAAACAATCTATTCTTTGTGAAGTAAACACCTGATCGGAACTAGATATTCCCAGAATCTCCCAAGCAAATTAAGTATTTGCTGCTTAGTTCTTAGAATTTGACAACGTTTTAATATCTTCTAGTGATTTGACGGGATAGAAGCTTAAATGAAAGACAATAGTTGCGCTTTAATGAAAATGTATCTTCTATGGGAAAGGCTGCAGAATAAAACACACAACAAGTCATTCATGCCTCTTCCTCAGTGGAATATCACGATTTATAGATAATATTCTTAGGAAATAAAAATGACTGCGAAGGAAAAAAACCTCATAGTTTTCACAATTCAACGAAAGTGACGTTGTTGGTCAAACGAAGGAACAGGTCTGCTCATAGAAAAAACCCTGAACATTTCACTTAACATCCGGATAACAGAGAACTGTTAACATTTTATACCTGCCCAGTTTTTATATAGATCTAAAAAATATCCATCTTATGTTTTTTATTTATTTATTCGGATCTAAAAAAAGAATAATGCTATTTGTCTTAACCCTTTTACTTATTGTCTTTTTCTTTTTAATGGCAGAGTACGTTGTGAAATATAACTCGTATATAATGCTGAGATATTTGCAAAACTCCGGACCGCAGGTGTATGCGGTGGGGAATGCTATTTGTTCTCAAACAACTGAAGTAAAGAACCTAATGAATCCCATCTTTATGAATACCCAAGGTTTTTAGAAACAAGTGGTTATAAATACTGGAATAGGAATGAGTGCACAAAAAATGGAGCTACAACTCCTCACTGATTAGGACAAGTACAGTTGACGCTTTCTCAAGAAGAAAATAGACGTACAGGATTACCTGGTTCATCACTATTTACTACTTCTTGCCATATTTTTCATTATTTAATAAACCAAATAAAAATGAACGTAAAGCATGCCTATGTTATTAGGATTGCCATAGAAGCGCAACAAGTATGAATTAGCTGAACCGACAAATATCCGCACGACTTCCAGATTCTGTGCTGCATTACCGGCCTGTTCGGTGTGTGTCAGATGCGCATGTTTCTTCTCATCGCCCTTACCATATCTACAGTAGTATCGATTTGTCAAAATATCCTAATATTTCTCTGGTAAGTTGGTATTATTGAGGAAATTTTGACCATTTTGATAAAAAACAATAAATGTAGTTTATACAATTCTGTAATTCTACTTTCAAATAGCGCAGTATTTAGCAACATCATACAACACTTAAGTGGTAGCTGTGAGAATCTCACCATTGATCAACCAATTCTTCCTTCCCTCTGGAGTTGGCAGACTGGGACCACACTTATTTGACAAAACTGGCTGATGCAGAAAGTCTAGAAATTGTCAGTGGCGAAGACCTAATAACGTTCTAGTAGAGCCATTCCGAAATTCCTGGGCATGAAAAAGATGAGATCCTCAATTAGATGCCGAATTCACAAGTGAATATGATGATATTCGTCGAGGAATCATACAAATAAAAATAAAAATTGAGTCTTTCAATCAGATACATGAAACGGAAACATCAAAACGGGCAGAACGTAAACAATAAATAGTGAACGATACGTCAACCGTAACCTCTTCTGTTGGTCTCAAACGAATGGTTACATCTAACACCAGTAATGTCTCCCATCAGTGTCAGTATAATTTATCAATGCGGCATACGAGTGTTAACATATCTTACCTTATTTTTGCTCGGACTCGTTGATGGTCGTGTCTGATCTTCAACATCTTGGCGTATGCTGATGCTTTGCTTATTTGTTGCCGTTGACGCAATTCTCGAGATTCCTTGTTTCAGTTATGTGGAAAGAAAGAGTCATCTGATTAACGCATATACAAAAAAAATTGGCCAAATCTGCAGCCCGCTCAACGTGGGTCCTGATTTTCAAAATATTGGTTAAGTCCCTGCCTCGCGATTTTGCTTTACACCATCCGTACATCTCTGCATTCGCATTCGTACATATACGACTAGGATTATCTCTGAGAAAGAAATTCCCAACGTACTCTAAGCGAGCAGGAAAGACGGGACATAAGCATATCCACTTAACTCCTTGTAGCAGCGATTAGCAAGTTACTAATAGTTCCTCTGTCAATGATCTTCGTGTTTTCAAGCGAATGAACGTTATTAAGCAGCACCGGTGAGAGAAACAGGTGAGGCTTCACTAATGCGTCGAATCCCTCATAGTTAACCTGATGAAGGGGGTTCAAGGTAATTTCGGCCTCCATTTAAAACTTTTTAGGAAGGATAAACCTGTTTGGATTGAGTAAACCTTCCAATGTATTGTTGACGTAAACCATAGCTGTAGCCTGCCGATGTACTAAGCCACTGTTTCTATCCTCTTAAACAATGTTGGTATTAACCACAACGTTGCTGAGATATTTGCAAAACTCTGGACCGCAGGTGTCTATGGTGGGGAACGAACGCGCTATTATCCTTTCCGGGGAGTAACGCGTTCACCACCACACCATGCGGGTCCTTTGTTTCGCACGTCTCTCAGCTATTTCTATCGATCTTTTTGCCACAGCAATCACCCGTCAGCGGGGTTGATCTGGGGAGCGCAAATCGGCATAAAACCCAGTTAAGCTATGGCTGTAGTTGAAATCACAATGTTTAACGTTTTGTTTTCTGCCTTCTATAATTTTCATGGCAGGTATCTCAGCAACGTTGTGGTTGTATTTCGCTTAGTAACCTGCCATGAAAATTATAGAAGGCAGAAAACAAAACGTTAAACATTGTGATTTCAACTACAGCCATAGCTTAACTGGGTTCTATGCCGATTTGCGCTCCCCAGATCAACCCCGCTGACGGGTGATTGCTGTGGCAAAAAGATCGATAGAAATAGCTGAGAGACGTGCGAAACAAAGGACCCGCATGGTGTGGTGGTGAACGCGTTACTCCCCGGAAAGGATAATAGCGCGTTCGTTCCCCACCATAGACACCTGCGGTCCAGAGTTTTGCAAATATCTCAGCAACGTTGTGGTTGTATTTCGCTTAGTAACCTGCCATGAAAATTATAGAAGGCAGAAAACAAAACGTTAAATAATGTTGGTATTAATTTTCTGACCTTAGAGTGATACAGCTTTTGCTTACCCCCGGCTGCGGGATTGAATAAGTGGCCATGTTTGTTTTGCAAGGCGCCTGTAACCACTAGGCCATGCGATCATCTGTTCTTTGTAATATATGAATAATTCAGCATTGGGGCATTCATCAATAATCTACCTGATTAAACACCTATTGTTAAGCAGATCATATAAAAATCCTTCCTATAATTGATACTAACTTAAGAAATTTTCGTTTTTTCTTCATCTGAAAATTTTCTTCATCTGACATTTTCATTTGATTGTCAGATGAAGAAAATGTTTATCTCGTGGTTCCAAGGAATTGACAATGGAATTCTGAGCTGAGACCCATTGCACTTATGCAATACATCTACGATTTCAACGTTGTTCAGGTATATCGGGATCTTTGGTGACATATCAAGACCAGTGCTGTCAGCAGGTTTACCGTACGCTCATTCATTCTTCTTAAAACACACACCATTCTGCGGATCTCGATTTGATCTCCAAAAGTAAGGAATTTTCATTTATTTTTCAGTGGTTTTTATGCGGAGCTTGACAGTGACTGAAGAGAAGAAGTAAGTAACACAAAATATTTTCAAGAATGAGAAAATTGCATAGAAACACGTCATCAATTTGAGCTGGCCAAAATCTATTGATCATTTTGTTGTTTAAACGATAAAAAGGATAACACTCTGGGCGTTGATCATTCCCTGAGGGAAGAGCAATGCATTCGGCTTCATTAAACGTCGTTGTCTGCCCTATACAATGACTTGTGGTAGTTCTTGGTTGTATTACGTCAGTCCTGCTATATTCTCCGACAGGTGTGGTACGAACTTTCCGACCACGAAGGGATGAAGGACTTCGTGGGCCATGGGCGCGGGAATCGTTACCATGTGTATTGCAGGGCGCCCTAACCCCTACGCTACATGCACCCCATTTTCCGATTTCATAAAAGGAATGACTTGGATCGGTAGTGCACCAACCATGTACATTTCATATACAAACGAAAGTACTGAAAAAAGACGGAACAAAAAGAAGGCATGAAGTCCTCGACTGTAGTCCATGGATTTGATTCTGATACAAGGCATTGTGGCACCGTCTGTGGCCCACATAGTTTCAACATGGCTTCTGGCGCATTCTGGTATCCTTGATCGTCGTCATAGTTTAAAACTAGAGATTCTTTTTCTCAATACCGTAAAATAAGATACCCCCAATATTCGTCGTTTTCTGTCTCAGCAATCGCGAGGTTGTTAAACAGCATAGGTTTACTTCCATGCAATAACATACATACAAAACAACCGAAACGTCAGTTACGATTGTATTGTATGTATGTTATTGCATGGAAGTAAACCTATGCTGTTTAACAACCTCGCGATTGCTGAGACAGAAAACGACGAATTTGTAATCCAATGCCGAGGTTAATAGAAAGTCGATCGTGGGAACCCCTGATATTATTTTCTCAGTAGCGTGTTCAAGAACAAAAATATTTACGTACTGTTATTTTTTTATCATTTATTCGTAAGGTAAATCATGGAGAATTTAGAAGTGAGTAGTTTTCTGAAGAATCTGGTTTTCTTCTTTTTCATCGTCAGTTTTCGATCGTCCTGTTCTGTCCCTGAGCTTCTTCATTTATCATGGTGACATCCCAGTTCAGATAAATAAAATTGAAGTATTTGAAGACTTTTATCCCACAGAGTGATTTTTTCCCACATTTATCGTCAACAAAAGAACTGAATAAATCAAAAATAGACAGGGAGAGAAGTAGGGGAAAAGTAGAGCTGGCGAAATAGTGAGAAAAAAGACAGGTGGCAATAATGCGACGTCATAAAAACAAAACATGAAAGCAAAAGGTATTCTAGTCTCAAAGGTCGTAGAAACTGATTAGAGGCGGGTAGCACAATGGTATTGACACCATTCATCACAAGTAGCTGCTACGCCGTCCACTTCGCGAGCTCACTAAGCCTCCCATATCTCTGAGGTCGGGAAATCGGTATCAGACTTGACCGGAATGTGTTCACTTCTTCTAATCCATGGATGAACGCACTAACATGAGTGTTCGTGCGCTCAAGAAAGAAGAGACTCAACCAACATTCAACAACAATCATAGCAAAGACATAAATCCTCAAATAACAACCGAACCCACAGAGAAAAACTCAACGACCTCTATGGATGATAAATGCGACGAAACGAATCGAATGCAAGAACTGTTGAGTTTCGCATAGTAGCTACGAAACTAGGTCATTCAAAGTAGTATTTTCTTTTATGCTTTACATTTCACATTTAACCCGATCTTTCATCACAACTACTGTGTGGATCTCAGCACTCCTTGTGCTGGGTTCGTTTTCCTCGTATTCATGCTCCATAAAGATCTTCAAGTGTTTCGGCTGCTTCTTGAGGATTCCATCGTCTATATAAACGTCGTTGAATGCTTCTCAATTCAATTCTCCTTGCGATCTTGGAGATAACCGGGCTAAGGCGTTCCTATGTGGATTGAAGGGGAGAGCGTTGGGACAGGGAATGATTTTGCTTCCTAATCAACGATATCGCTAACCACTGCGCCATCGCCGCTCTCTATAAAGTATTAAATAAATGAAAAAAACCGGTTAACGACGAATGCTGATTCCTTTACCAGAGCTGGTTTATTCTCTAAGAAAAAATGCCCCATGATATATATTGCAGGTCTAAATGGATGCAGTTACCATGTGCACTACCGTACAATCAAATCGAGGCCGCACAAGCACTTTTGCACGTGATACTAGCAGCTATAACGCTGATTTTGTCGGTGATTGTGATTCTGGAAAAGCGACGAGTAAAAAAAGATCGGCCAAAGCTCCCACTACCGGCACAATACGCTCAGATTAAACGAAGCCCACAATTATTGGCTGTCGCTTCATCAATCAACGACAATTGGTATCATGCCTTATTCTTCAAGTGCTTTTATCTACTCATTTCATAAATTTTGACCACCCATTCAGTTTCGACTTGTGATTGCAAACAAAGCGATCATCGTTCGTAGATTCGAACCCGACGCGAACACTCAGTGATTTGATCAAGTTTCATTCGTGAATTGAAAACTTTATCAAGTCGAACACCATTTGGAATATGCTCTTAAGAATTTCATGTAGCAAAAACTCTTGTTATCTTCTAACTTTCCACATAACTTCTTCTTTTAACGTTGTATTCAATGCTCGAATAAATTCGAGTTTCCAGATTTCAACTCATCGAAATGACAGAATTTGTTTTCAGTATTGGTTACCTCAAGTCTACGGACGACACAACAGCTGTGACACTACCTGAGAATCGAATTCCACCCTACTCTTATGAACGGCATAATCGTAATAAAAGAGCAAAAATACGCCCGAATTCTATGGTACGTTAAAGTGATGCCGTCGTTGCGGTGTTGAACATTTCCATATGGTTTGAAAACTTTTCATAGTTATGTCCGTTCAATTTACTTACTTGGAAACTTGGACAGCCCGTCCTCACTGGTTGCGCAGACTCCAAGACAATCTCCATTTTTCGGAGTTCTACTGGTTTAGCTATTGTTTCCCTGGAGTCCCGAGATCAGCCTGGTCATAGTCTGCCCGAGGTCTTCACCACCACAAGCAATCGCAGCCCTTGTGAATCAGAGGGAGATTTACCACCATGCGACTTTGATACCAGGACGGTGGCGGATCCTGCTATTGGTTTATTCTTAGCTGGATTTCCTGATGGAAACACCAGACTTCTTCTCAGTTTGGGAGACCCTGCCGGGTGGAAGAATCCACCACTGCGCATCGCAACACGGCACCCAAGAACATCTGCCAGGCACGATGGGGTAGTAAACCGCTGGGAGGGTTCGTTCAATTTATCCGAATAATTTGTGAAGCATTGGCCCTATGAACACTAATTGAAGGTGTGTACTTGATTTTTGGGAAACCACCGTATCCATGGTCAATCGCATTTAGTGTTAAATTCTTGCCTCACTACACCCGTACTACAATGATTTCCTTCATTTGAAAAATTTGTACTCTCTTTAATGACTGATGCCTATTTGTTTGTTATCAAACGTTAGTATCCACGCTATAAAATTAATTACATTATACCCCAGTAAAACTAGTGCCTGGGTGACCCACAATTTAGATACTTTGTCCATTTTTTACAGAACCATAGACCAAAATTACTATATCAGCTTGAAATGTAGTACTTGCTTATATGTGTCATGATATCTCTGATGAGAAATTGTCATTGACGCAGGCAGGAGATAAAAGACTACATGGCTACTGTTTTGGAGTCAATTTAAAGGATTTTCCATTGATCACGTCACTTTTAGTGATCACAGTTCGTAAGTTTAGCCGCAACCAAATCTCGATCACTATTCGAGCGTCAACATGACGGACTCCGAGAAGGACGATTTACAATCAAATCCTCACACGAAGAGGTCTTCATCCTCTACAAGTGGTCGTTTTCGCAAATCGTCTGAACAACGACGGGCCAGTATGCACGAGGTAAGATTCCACTCAGTATTCATTTAATAGACGATCAAATCTGACTTTATGGTCCACCAATAGAGTAAATTTCGTTCTCTTTGCGTTCACTAACACCGTTAACATATTTGACTTGATAATGCTAATCCTTTTAAAATTTCAAAACAACGATATCATTTAGGACATAGGATCATATGACGGCAGCAACGACCAAACACATGGTAGACCTTCAAGCGGAACTCTCACTTCACTCGTGAGTTTCGATCCAAAAAGCCGAACATTGCTTCGGGTCCGCGAGCACCGCGACTCAGATGATGATGACTCTGTCGGATATAGTCGCATCGGAAAGGTCTTAATATTTGAATTAATGGATGTTTCAAAAAAAACCGTAACGAATAAGATTGATCTAGGTCTCCACTGACAGTGGAGTGTACGAGCGAATTCGGAATCGAGCCATACACTCATCAAGAGATCGTTTAAATTCACCGACGTCTCATATGTTGGCGGAGTCGCGCATGAAAACCACTAGTCAGGTCAATTAAGAAAAGATCGTAAAGCATAGATGTAGTGTAGTATTCAGACGTGTAGTACTCAAACAGGTCATTCGTCTGGCGGATAACACACCACAATCATAATTTATTACCATTAATATTTTTCTATTTACTCATTTTTTCGTGGCAGGATACTATGTAAAATTCAACCCCAATAATGCTGAGGTATTTGCAAAACTCAGATCCTAGGCCAGATCTGAAGTTGCGATTACCCTTTCCAGGGTTCATGTGTTACCCACTGCACCTCTGAGGCCTTTGATTTGCCTTTCTATCATCCTGTTGTTTACCCTAACAGTACCATCAGCTACCACCTGTCTGGGGTCTGAGTTTTGCAAATATCTCAGCATCATTGTGTTTGAATTTCACATCGAAACCACTTCTTGTGTACGATTCAGCGGCTTGAGATCTCTTGAAAGGGAGAGGTCCATGTTTGGAAAAATAGATTCTTCACGACAACAGAAAGAGAATTATAATGATTATCATTAGAAGGTATCGCGACATCTTTAAACCCATGACGCATATCAAGAAGGCAAAGGGCACTGTGATCTTGTTCACAGCTGAAATACACCACTTTCCTATTCACGAATCAAGTGAAACGGTTATGCTACCATCGTATTGCAAACAACCAGATGATGTGCATTCAAGGCAGAGTAGACGAAGCTCTTTATTCGATGGCAAGGAACAATACTGCTGCATGAAAACATCTTGCAATTAATAAATAGTAAGTCCCACGTCCCAGTAAACCCACGAGCAATAAATAGGACCCGTAGTAGTGAATAGTAGCTCCACACAATATACACCGACCTTTTTCCTATCATCCTTCCATGTTTTGTCGCATTGGAACAATTTGTGAACAAAAACAAAGAAAAAACAAAAGAACATTTACGCCAAACAGAGTTTTCTTGATAAACACACATGTTGTTCCTATATTATTCATTTCTCCATAAAGGCTGACTTTTCGGCAGCCTTTTTCACAATCTGTAAAGGTCAAGTTCACTGCAACCTAGACTTCCATAAATTCAAAACACTACAATACCCAGATTTCAATCGCATCGGAAAGGAAACAGCTTCTTCACACAATCTCACTTTTTATGAGTTCTCCACCGCGTTGTCCACATGAAGATGAACGATAGAGAGTTCACATAAATGGGCAATGAGCCCCTCGCACGTTAAAATGTCTGTGTCTGAGATATTGTGTGAGATCCCGTGCGATAACGAAGCACTTCCCCTTCCCATGCTTTGAAGAAGGCGATATCCGCCTTAAACGACAGTTTTTGTGGATAAGTGAATAAAACAGTAATAATCATATGCTTATCAAAAAAACAGCAATTTATTGATCAATGCTGAGGCTAACAAAAAGCCAGGTTAACAGAAGGCCGGTCTTCATAATTACTGCAACATATGACCTAAGGCGAGAAAGCCTCCAAGGTGTTCTGTACTCTAGGAATCCCGACTTTGTAAATCGCACCGTCCAAAGTTTTGTCATGTTTGTATAAAGATAGCGATATGAGTCGTCTTTAGTGACGTCCGATGATTACGCATTTATATTTCGAAGGTAAGCACATCAGCATTGCATTCCAATCACTCAAATGTTCAATGCGTTCTGTTTTCTAATTTTATATAGCATTGAAAGATCTATTTGAACGACCTTAGTCGATCACAATCTCCTACATAACTAGCTTTCACTAAAAATAGAATTTTCCAGGATTCTGTACCATCTATAATGGCGCCGATTCTGATTTCCGATGAACTTGTCCGAGACGGAAGGCACGACGTCAGTAGCGCAGATTCCAGTTTCCCTGGATCAAGTACTGATTGGGCGATTAGGCACTCATCATCACGAGAAGCAGGGCAAGGAAGGTGGTCTAACGCTGCGTTACCGGAAACACCTGGTAGAAGCCTCTTCATCACCGACGATCAGTTTCAGACGGCAGACTCTAACTATAAGAGTAATTTTCGAGTAGAGGCTAAGGATCGTGGCAAAGCTATCGGACACTATCATTCCGTGAGCGAGTTTCGACTGACAGCAGAGCCACCTACGTCTAACGTGCCGATCATCACGGGTACTGGATTACTTGTATAATATGTGACGCTTGTTCCCAAGAAAACACTCCTCGAGGAGAGGACATCTGTCACACCCCATTTGGGGTATAACATGCGAACAAATCAGAATCATTACACGAAGAGCGAGGTTATTCAAAATCTATACAAATTCTCTTATTCTCTATTCTGTCTAAAAACTAGAATTAACGATATGAACAAGCTGAAACGATTGTGGAGTAGTGCTAAAGTCATTTTTTCTTCTTTCTGGATTTCATCATACCAGGTAGTGAACTGCAACTTGAGAGTGTTACGCATTCAATGTCAAGATTTCAAATTAAAGATTCTCATAAAAAGAAGATTTCTCTATTCAAAGTTTAACCACTCACCGACCTTTACTTGTCCTTAGTTCAACGAATACCCATGACATGTGACGTAAACATAGCTACCTAACCTTTCTAGTGTCACTTACGTTCAGAATTCAGGCCTAGTGTTATTTAGTCTTTCAAAGAACCAAGTGATTTTAGCGATTTATTCAAGTCCCTCATTACCATATCTTTCTTATTTATCTGAATTTCATCCAATGTGATACAATTCTTATTAAGGACGACTTTTCTCTTTTGGGGTTTTCCTTACCATTAAACGGACACTTATAACAATTTTTCTATGATATCTACTATAATATAGTATGGAACTAAAGATCAGACTGCTATAGAATTAAGCAAAGTCAGGCATTTCTTAAAGTATTTTAATAATCAACACTATTATACAATCGCACAATTTCCTCAGTAGCTTTTTTACTTACTAACTACATGGCTAAATATTCCATCGTAGGGGCTTCTCGCAACCAAGTAAAACTAGCTATGCCCATGTCTCCGTCGCATTCCTATAGAACTCGTTAACATCTTGAACAGCAATGTGAAGTTTTCTCCTATTTCTATCCGATTTCCTGTCGTTCATACGGGTTTTTTATATGGAATTGCTATAATTATGATAGACGTCTTTACTATTTAAAAGGAATAAAACTGATTTTATTGATTAGTTCTTATTCAACAAAGCATTCCTTATGCATCGACAATGACACCGGAAGTTCTATTGAGAAAGAGGATAGAATAAGTGCGATATCTCATCAGTTTATCACAGAAAATAAAGAAATGCTCAATTAAATATGTTTATTTGAAATAAATAAATGAATAATTGAATGGTCCTGCATTTTTCTGACCACATAAATTATACACAAACAAGACTAAGTAGTATAAGGATGTCAAGATTTCTTCAACTTCATCCGAAGCTCGGCAAGTATGTATGCTCGGACGTTCGCATTAGACACCTTCGCTTCAATATCTTTCACTATGTCTTCGATTTCTTCACCACATGAAATGAAAAACTTACATCAAACAGATTCTTACTGGTCACATAAGCTAACGATTTCAAAGGTACACTGGAATGTATACACTCTACGAAAACAAAACGTGAGGCATTCCAACTTCGAACAATCTATAGAACTTTTTTAGATTAAGTTTAAGGCTTTCCAGTCACCCTGCCAACGGCTTCACTCCACTGTAAAGCCGCTATATGTTAAAGGCTACCGAACGGGAAGCAGGTTTACAATGATGATCAGTTGAAAATCGAAAACCAGTTTTATGGAGGAAAAAACTATATTCGCCATTTGTCGTCACATTTTATTTACTCCCTACTATCTTTTTTAATGGCAGGATATTATGTGAAATATAACCATAATGATGCTGAGATATTTGCAAAACCCCGCACCCCTGGTCCCGTTAATGGGTGATTGCTAATAGCAACTATAGGTCAATAACCTGGTTGAGAGAAAGGAGAAACGAAGAACTCGCATGGTGTGGTGATGAACACGTTAGCCCGCGGATAGCCTGTCCGGTCCCCATAGCAATCACCAGAGATCCGGAGTTCTGCGAATATCTAAGCATCACTATGGTTATATGTTCGCTTTGTCAGTAAATTAATGAATGGATTGAAGTTGTGAAGAGGTATCATAACAATTATTAGAACAATGCCGGACACTATTTAGAACACTTATCTTTGGTTTTTTCAGGAGGAAAAAACCATTGAAAAATTCAAGAAAAGTCTCATATCGAAAAGTTACAAGATGAAAAAAACAAACTTACTGTAATATCTCACGACTTCACTGGCATACACTGACCAAACGCAGTTCACACAACCTTGACCACAACACGCACCTTCTATTGGCTCTATAGGCGGACCAGAACCCTTCTAAATGCCAACACTTTCAAAAGCAATCGACACCATTTCTAAGGAATACCACTCTAATACTACCATAACTGTCGAATATCAGGAAAAAACAGCAGAAACAATATTATGGAATGTACTGGGCGTGTTACCGCCACTAAGACACTGACAACAGCACTTGGTTTTTTTTAGCCGGATCGCCATCTGTGGATGAGGACGTCGTCAAATAGAACGACCGACATAGCCAATTGTTATTTCGACTAGCACACTGTCGTACTACGAAAGACACTGTTGAATCTTGAATAAAACCGTATAAACAAATAAAGAAAAACGCATCAGATCAATTCTGTAAACCTAAATAATGCCGTACTGTATTCGCGTAATGTGCGAAAATGTAGATAATGATACCAATAAAAACCATAACCTCCAAACGGTTTGCCACCTCATAGTGACTGTGATGTTTTCCTGGATGTCGATGTGCGATGTAAAGCGGGGGGATTCATCCCTTCAGCAGTCTCCCAAGCTGAGAATGAGTCGGTGTTTGCATCAGAAAGTCCAGCTAGGAGTAAACCAATACTAGAATCCACCACCGTCCTGGTATCGAACTAATCCCATGGCGGCAAATCTCTCTTTGTTTCACAAGGGCGGCGACTACCCGTCGTGGGACGACCTTGGGTAGTCTTTGGCCTGGCTAAGCTCGGGTCTCAAGGGAATCACAAGATTAGAATACAACTTTTCAATCTCATGTCCAATGTTGGTTCCAAACTAAACTGAAGTTCTCAACGCTACATTGACTATAATCTACATCAACAATAAAAATAAACTTACAAATCATGTAGTTTGATTTCTACCGGAATTTCTCAAACAAATCCACTGCAAGAAGTTGGCACTCGGTCACTCCTTTGAGAATATATGTTCCAGAAGCAACTACAAGGATGCCTGAGAGCAAGTACTCCTTTGCAGTGCAGTTGATTACAGTTGCTACAAGCAATTTTGAATTGATATCACATCATCACGACAGAAAATTCTCAATCATTCTACGAAAAATGGTGTAGCATTCCACCTCTTTCCAAGCAAACACACAGTAGTACAGAGGAACACTTTAATATTATTAGATAACAACTTCACATCTAAGCAATTCAACCAAATCATACAGAAAGAATAACACCATTACATTATTCAAATAATATTTGGGCAGCAGCTACACATATACAAATAAATAAACAAGGCACCCGCAGGTTCACCTACGTAACGAACAAGTAGAAACACCTACAGTAATGATTGAAAGCATTCGTGGTATCAGTTCATACTTCCGCAACACTATGAATCCTTAACAGTTCTCTACCGATGGCTGCTAATACGCAACAATATCCAGTTCTTCAGTGAATAAGAAAGCTATTCTACCATTATGACTCACGTGTCTACAAAGACCATACACTTTCGGATGACAGTTACCTATCATATTTACAAAACAACGATAAGCGCATTCGTTGAGAGTACCCCAAACAAAGCTTATCAAGAAAGGAATGCTCGAAAGTGGAATGGTTTATGCGGGAAAACTCCTTTCGTAACGCTCGTAGTCTCAAAAACTAGACTATAGTTGAACATAAAGCAATTGTAATGATCATATGAGTGTCATACCAATTCACTAAACAACGATATATGAAATGAGAACCCCACTACTTGGCGCGGAAGTTCGGGCCTAGAACAAGTCCATAACGAACATTTCAACCAAAACAAATAGACTAGTACTGCATATGGTCTGCAGTGGATACATGACAATTGGCGAAGTTGAGCCAACATTATTGAAACCTCTCCTATCCCCCAGATCATTGCCTCAACTCCGCAACCAACCACGCTTACGACATACGTTACATTTCAGGGTGTCACAACAATAATGATGAGGTGTACATTCTTCAGTCCACATTAATGAATAACAACGATAAATACAGTACCTACGTGGAACAGGAGCAGTGCTAAAAGACTTCATAAAAGCAACAGCTAGTCGATACTCGACGCTTTCAACGCAGCAGCTGCTAGTTCGTCCAACGGTGGTGAAGCACTTTCACGACTATGCAGCTTCTGCAGTTCATTTTGTGTTCGCACTGAATTCCGTGCAGACGCTACCACATCCGGCTGGTCAGTACTGTAAGGAAAACCAACTACACCACACATCTTGGTTTCCCTGTTAGTTAGCATGTTTTGCGTATAGAACGAAACTAATATAGTCTCTACAGCTACAGAAGTAATTACACTAATCGACACCAAACCGACACCAACCCAACCTACTTTGCTACTGTTGACTCACTGCCTTGTTCGTCAACTGTCGAATGAGCTTCGTTCACAAGACTTCGACCCATATGTCTACAAAAACGAAATCAGTAGAAAACCTAAAAGAAACCTCGAATTCTCCTAGCATTAAAGTTCGCCTACCTTGGAGATTCAGTGTTTCCTCGAGCATCAAGTACTGTTCCGTTGCGTTGACCGACACGTCTAACCATGCACGATAGGCTTTCGGACCTATTTTAAATATCCATCCACCAAAACACAAACGGTTTTTACTCCTTTCTTTCGTTACTAATTCTAAGCTTTAACATTTTGATGACATCATAATGGAATCACAGTCGTTGAGTAAATTAAAGTGATTTTCTGTGGTGATCTTAAACCCCATAACCATACGCTCATAAAAGCAACGTTTTACCAGTGAACGTTAAAAACGCTTACTAGTAAACGTTGCATATTCGTAGAACACTAAGTAGAAAAGTTCAAAAGTCACATTAGTTGCCGTCTCGTTAAGCATAGTGGAAGAATAGTTTAAAAATTTAAATTTGGAAATTGCAACATATTTTAGCCATGAAAAAACACTCACATTGGATATATCCTGGACGCATCATCTCGAGCGTTACTGAGTTCTTTGCGGAAATGGTGAAGCTGATCTCGGAGGGAAGTCATAGTTGGTAGTCGGACGCCAATTGAACCACTACCACCGATCACGGTGCTCCCTGTTGCCGTTGACGTCAGTGACTGTGACGGTGCTGTTGAAGATGACTGTGCTGAGGAGTACGATGAATATGATGGTGCTATGGATATGTGCGATGCATGTGATGATGGTCGCTCCTGCTCCCAGACTGGAGTTTGCCTAGAAATTAAGAGTGATAAAGGATAAAGCTCTCAGCGTTGATCAATCCCTGAGGGATGCGCCATACATTCGACTTCACTAAGTATCGTTGGAGGTGATTGAATGCATATCTGGCCCTTACAATGACTCGCTGTGACCTACCGGTGTATCGAGCCAGTTCTGTTATCTTCGCAGACAAGTCTGGTACCAACCTACCGACCCCGGAGGGACGGAAGGCTTTACGGGTCATGGGGGCGGGGATCGATTACACGTGTGTGTCGCAGTGGCACCTCCAACCACTGCGCCACACGCGCCCAATAAGAGTAATAGATTGAAAAAAACGGTAACATGCCGATGACCAAGAAATCCCACATGATCCCAGAAAGGTAAAAAAAAGTTTGGCTTAAATGATAGAATATGAAAGCCAGGATATAACAAAACTTTCTTCCGCATAAAAAACACACCTTGAGTCCGATCTTGCCATCGCATCTCGTTCTTTTGCCGCAAATTTAGCAGCCACTTCATTTGCGATCAAATGCGGCATATCACTTCGCAGAGCCGGTGAGACATCTTCGGACATTCGTCTGATGTAAGCGTCCAGAGTTGACCGATTAGATGACCTTAAAATACGAAAATGCTGAGAGAATCAGTTGACATGCCGCACAAATATTGGAATATTTTACTCTATAACATGGAAAATAAAGCACAACATACGTGAACATAAAGAAGTGAGGACATTAAAATTAGACAAAGAACTAGGAGATGAGTATTACTGATTTCAAATAAAAAAACTTTCTTCTTTTATGTAACTCCACAAAACGAAATAACAAAAATTCACATTTCTACGTGCCATTAATTGGGATCTCATAAACGAATCCTCAAATAGGATAGAACTGCTACGTAGTAACCGCAACAGTCCTCGTTACAATTCATAGTTTCGTCAGTTATACCTCGACGAGACGCTAGTAGGCTGACTCGGTTCTTCTGGAGTTGGAGCCTGTTGAAGAGTTGAGGTAGTCTGATCACGTGCGATGTCTGTCGAAGTGGACATATCGTAGGTGGACTCTGCCAGAGCAGAATCAGCTGACACACCGCCACCAATACCATTACGCAAGCAGTCTTCGTCTTCCGACAAACCGTCGCTGAAGAAAGTAAAGATAAATCGAAAAACCGTGTTCTCGCCTCTGGAAGGTGCTTAGAGTACACGTCCACCTTAGATCTTTGTTAATTATTGTCAAACTGATGAAACATCTCTGTTACTGGGGTCATGTTCGCGATCTCAAAAAAAGCTCCCGTTTTTAATTTTATGCTCTAAGCGTGTCCTTTAAAGATAAGTCTATATAAAAGAAAACTGTTCGTGCTTTAAAAGTGAAGATTATGTTATTCATCATTACCAAACATTAAACGAGTAGTAAACAATATTAGGACTGTAAATCGCCCAATCCAATTTTTTCCGACTCTCTTTGACCCCCACGGTATTTGTGCTATATCAGGACTCAAAACCCTGATCCAGTACATATGTAACATACAAAGGTATTTCCTTTAGCATTAGAAACTCACATATCATCCATAAAACCCATTTGATCTGCATCGTCTGCAACCGCTGCATATTTGTCGTACGCAGGACCAGGTAGATCTTGTGGGAATACCTCATTCACGTGCAGGATAAGGTTTCGTACCAGCTCATTTACGAAATTATGATAAAAAACCTGAAAGAACTAGTCACTGAGAACTTTTCCAGGCTCTGAGGAAGACGAAATCCGCCGAAACGTCAGCTTATTCGTGAATAAAGAATAAAAATAACACCTCGCGTTCGCTCAACAAGAGTACGAAGAATTACTTGGTCAGTGCCGAGGTTAAGAGAAAGTCGGTGGTGGAAGTTACTGCAAGATGTACCAGCAAGATACTTTCGACTTGTAAAAGAAGCGCTGTCACTAAGACAAAAGATCGTCTTAGCTCGACAGTCAATACACTTTCTCCTCCGCTGTCTAAAACATCGAGTCGTTCCGAACTTCATCAAACGAAGAAGGCTATATGACGTATGCGGACTACCAGAGGACAGTCACCCAGTACTGGACATCGAATTGTGAATATTACGCACCTGTCTACGAAGCTGACAAAACCAGATGTTGGCCAAATGGAAAAAGGGCGAGACGAAGGAAAACTTTTGTGCTCAGCATTTGGCGGACCGCCCCTGGAGGGATCTTCTCGAATGGTTCACTGAGGAAGACCTGACTCGACACGAAGGCGAAGCTGCAACGTCGAGACGAACAACAAGCATGGACCATCGACTCGGATCATCGGCTCTGAGGAAGACGAAGACGTCGAAACGTTAGCCGAAAATAAATAAATATCATTCTCAACCTCGTGTAAGCTCAACAAAGAAAGAATGCATATTGAACAGTCAGAGTATATCAAGTTCACCCGAGAGAAACCGAAAGAAAACTGGCTTCCATTCCTGAACGCCAAATTAACCTGTCAGAAAATGGATAAATTGCGAAATGGTACCAAAAGCCAAGTAGTAAAACATCCTGGTTCATTACCTCTCCTTTCACCCCTCTCACATGAAAAAGGACTTGTAAGAAACATCAGGTGTAGGGAAATCCTAGGCCCCCAAACGACAACTCTAGCGATAAGAAGTCCCGTTTATCCCACCCTTCATCTCAAATGATGTAAGTGCAGCTATAAAATCCCGTTTAAGAAGGGTGGGTCTAGAAAATTCGGTAAACGTAGTCGAAATGCCACCGAGTACTCTTAGGCGCCAGCTAGTTCGTAACCGCCTATGTGCAACGCAGAACTGCATAAATTGACCTAGTGGTAGAGACGGTGATTGCATAAGCTCGGGTATAGTTTATCTGATCTCCTGTAAGACGTGCGGTGACGGATACATCAGCGAAACGGGCAGGCTCCTCTGTGTTCGCATAAAAGAACAACTAGCCGGCAAACATAGACCAAATACCCCGCTAGGTACCCATAGGACCCAGAGACATAACGGGGAGGACTTTGAAATATGTGTCACGACCCTCGCACGCGAATCAAGAACACAGGCGCGAAAAACTCTCGCGGCATTCCGGATTAACTCCAGAAATCCGAAAATGAACCGTAGGGAAGAATGCCTCATTATCACGCGTGATATAGGGCAGTATATAAGATTGCTATTTTGATGGGAGGGGCACATTATACTTCCATGTGATTTCTGTGCGGTTGGTCTTCACGCGACATAGTAGAAACCTCATAGAAAGCGGTGAGTGTGCAAAGCTGTGTTCAATGTGATTGAAATCTTGGTTTGGAGTTTCTTTGTTTGGTTATGGAGGCGTCTGGCCGAGTAGATTGCTATCAACTGGACTTTTCCAGGCTCTGAGGAAGGCGAAATCCGCCGAAACGTCAGCTTATTCGTGAATAAAGAATAATAACACCTCGCGTTTGCTCAACAAAAATACGAAGAATTACTTGATCAATGCCGAGGTTAATAGAAAGTCGGTAGTGGGAGTCACCGAGGATTGAACCTATAGATTTCATATCTACACTAGCTAAAGGATATCAATTGCTATTAACAATTTGAACATATCGATAGAGGAATGACTACAAAAATGGAGGCAGAGTAGTAACAAACCATGAGTACGAGTATCAACCTTGAACAAAGTTAGCACTCAAGACAGAAAAGAAGGTCTCTAAAATTATCTCCACTAACCTGATCCTTTCCTTCTGGAATAGGCATTAGAGTCGGACCGAAACAAATAGCCATATTGTGTGGTTCCATCATATTCTCGTCAGCAAACTCACATAAATGTGACAAAAAGGAGAACAAAAAACGCAACAACAGAATATGGGAAACCGGCAGTTTCAATATAAGTTCTCTTGCCTAAAATGTAAAGTTCTTATACTACAAAAGAACATCTCGATGGTGGATTTCTTGTAAGACAACGAATAAATACACCATAAGAAGGTTAGGTTACATTATACTGTTTTTATATTCGAAAAATACAAAAAAAGCGTACTCAACCGCACACGTTAAAAAAAATGCTCTTAACCACTTGCTCTTCTTAAAATAAAGACTTTAACGCGGCAGTTTAGTTCTGCACTTCTTAACTTTTAAGAAAAACCTCACCCTACGCACGAAATCTTGGGGACAATCGGCCTTAGCGCAGTCGGTAAATTGATCGAACAAGAATATTGGGAACAGTGGCTCACGCAGCTCTCTTAGGTAGAGTTTCAGAACACCGGCAACAGAATTAGATTCACTGCCGTCAGTTAGCTCAGCAAAAGCATCATCACCTAAAATAATTTGAGCGTTGTACACGGTCTGGTCTAAATGAGTGGTTTTCTATTCCTCTAATTGTGCAGTGTGAAAACCAGTAGTTGGTTGAAATATGCATCAAAGAAATTCTGAAACAAACAATCGCTAGGAAAGTCATCAGAAAACATATTACCTCTTTCATAAGCCTCCTTAAAGCGATTGATCTCCGACTGAGAACCGCTAACTCGAAACAGTCCTTGATTTCGTAATGAGTACCGCGATAAATAGTTTATAGCTGATACAACCACTAGTGGTATTGCTTCGCCAGTCACCTCTGCATATTCGTCGAGGCTTCCACCTGAAAATTATTACAAAAATAAAAAACAAAAAGGCAGGAATTTGCATGATAAGAGTATAAGAGAACCGATTAGCGCATCACACTTGTGCTAAACAGAAGTTGTTACAGCGAAAATGAATTTCTCTCGTTCTTAACCACACTGACGACCAATCAACCCAACCAAGATCTGTGCAGTAATATTTATGATTTATCCTTCTGTTGATCGACAACTCGAGCACAACAGCCAGTAGGTTCACCATTTATCTCTGTCGGGCAAAGTAGCCTACTGGTTTCTAGTCACACTACCATACCAGGAACCCAGTGAGCATTATGCCTCGTAAAGTCTTGGTGAAGGAATCTGGCCATCGTGTCAGTGGTCAACGCGTTATGCCCTTGTCCTACCGTGTAACTCAGTGCCAACGGTCCTTGTTCACCGGTTTCTAGGCAACATCACTTTCAACATCTCGATTATAGAGCCGCTAGTAAAATGATTGAACGAAAATAGTAGTAAGCTTGTGCAAACTTTTTCACGAGTTTCAGGATCCTCCTAGAATAATCCCCCAATAGTGCATCTTACAACGTTTAGCGATCTTCAATTTCGCATAGGTGTTGCTCAAATTTGCCAGTAATGAGGTAGGAAGTCAGAAAAGAGCTAGGTGGTCACCGTCCTTTTCCGTAAATCCCTTAATACGTACGCTCTTCAGCTCGCTAGTTTCCTCCCTCTCTTCGGTTGAAGAACTAAGTCGTCCATCATATTGTCCCAAAAAACATTACTGGAACATTCAGGGATCTTCGTTACAAAGAATAGCAATTGAAAATCAGCTATGTAACCATTTCTCATGAGGATTTTTGAAATTACAACAAAAAACCGAATTTTCCATTTCGATTTCGACTTTGGCCACTGTTCGCGTTGTCCGACTAGTTCAATGTTGTAAGAACGACATCGTGATAAAAGCGAAGCTGTAGTTGCCGATTAACAACTTTCACTTTCAGGTTCGACTAATCTGGTTTTTGTAAACTTTTCTCGACAGAAGCCGCCGGAAATAATTCTAGGGAGATGGTGTCGCAATACCAAATCTGTTTCCCTATTCATGTCGTTGTAGAACAGTAAAAGGGTGACTGTGAAATTGCTGTCTAGCTCATGAAAGAATATTTGTATGATAGGCATGAACACCTTGTCTGACCAAAACTTCCACAACAGAGTTGAAGAGCTTTAAATCGATGAAGGTGAGAAGAATACTTTTTTATACCACTGCGATACTTGAACGAGTTTCACCAGCATATGGAATTGATTTATTTTGCTGATCTTCTTCAGGACTCAATTCCTCGTATGATTATCCTTCGTACAATTTTCTTGAAGAAGATTCAAATGATTCTTGCAAATGACAGATATCAAGCAGATGGGTAACCACCGATGTCATACAGGGCACTATTGTGCAATAACAATATTATGTTCGTTTTCCTTTAATATGAGATCCTAAATTCGGACGTCTAACATGTGAAAAGCCGAGGTAGTGTGTTGGAGTGCACTGGCGGTAGCTTCTAGAAATGCTGGGTCTAATCCTGTTTAGACTAGGTGTTGTATAGTTTTCACGAAAAAACAAGGAGATTGGCAAAAACTAAATCTAAGTGTCAGCGGAGCGAAAACACAATAATAAGAAGCAAACACTACACGCTCCGTTCCCATGTAGTAGACGCCGATGAAAGCAAGACAGCATTTGCCTTGAGAAGTTGGATTCAGATGGGCTACCTGTTTCTGCTGCACTGGATATATGGTCTTCGTATTTATACGTATTTGCATATATACGTATCAACATTTGCACGCATGAGGTTGTTTCCGTATATGACGCCTCATTCCTGTACGATAAGTCACCAAAAACCTGCAAACACTTGACTGGAAAGTGCATGATGGCAGGTGGTTAAAGGCCACTTCCAAAAAAATAAGCTCCTCGCTTACTCTGGGAAAAACTGACGAGCCAAATTTCAGCAGGCTTCCTCAGTGTACTAATAATAAAACTGGAGATATAAGGCTTCAATCCCTGAGTGCATAAGAACTACCGACGGTACAACCTTGGCTAGGATAGGCGCGATGAAACCTCAGGGCCATTAAAGGATGTCTAAAACTGTGAGGACCACTATTCGTGTGAAAACCGAAGAACGAGTGCTAACACCGAAAGCCTCAATTGGTATCCTGATGATGAAGAATATTAAGTAATATCACTAAACAAAAAGTAGATTTGAAAATTTTGACTTTTTGGTGCCACTAAAGCTCTTGTCTTTTTACCACGCGTGCGGCAAACAATTTGGTCCATTGCATATCGATGTTGCCGAAAACAACGTCGCCTCCAATCGCCTTTGGAGCACACCAAATAATTTCTTCGTCTTGTTGTCGAGCCCCATTTTGACGAAACGAAGCGAATGGCTAAGCGGGATTATGCTATTTAGAACATTAAGTGTTGTGTAGAAAACATTAAAGTCTACAGACGCCATGGAATGCACGAATAATGGCTGCTTCATCCTCCACTAGAGCCACAAGGCCTCCCAAATCTCCACAGCCGATAAACGGCTAGCAAAATTCTCTAGTAAAATTTCTCTCCGACTCATAATTCTCAGCGACTACTCATTGTGAGGACTTGGGAACACTTCAACAGAGCTTTTCTAGGACTTGGCGTAGAACCAATTTGACGAGCTATCAACGCCAGAATCTACAAAATTCATGGTGACAAAATTTACAAGTAGCAGGGAAACTGATGCACATAAACCCGAAAACATTCGTAAATGAGTGATAGGATATGACGAATCAAATTGAAGAAGCCCTGGCATCCGCATAATACGTAGTCGACGTTGGCCACTGGGTGTACTCTTGTCACATTCTTTTTAACCTCTGTTTGTTCAGAAAGAAAACACTGAAAAATGCTTTCAATTTTTGTTTCACTAATATTCCATAGTGTCGATACATGTATACCCCTATAACGATATATCGAAGTCTATTTTATTATAATCCGCTAAAATTCTCAACGCGTCAAGCACCATATTGACCAAAAATGAAAGATGGCAGCTTGTCAAAGAAAATATACACACACACAAAAAAAAACCAGGAACGAAAAAAAGAATCCTGACAACCTCGCAGAAGGGGATTAAGAAGGAGAAGAAAGAATTTAAGCCGCTACACAGCACTGTCATAAGAGAGCTGAACTAACCGAAAAGCTTCGGGCGTGGCTTCGCATCATCAGCATCGGCAACACCAATACGTTTCGGTCGTCGTCGTGTGCGCTCTTCAGTACTCGGCATTGTCATATTAGTCGTTAGCACACCTGCTGCTTGTGACAACGCTTCACTAATAGCGCGACTTCTTGCTTCAAGGCGCTCGATCAGGTTTCCGTTCAACAAGAAGTATTCGAACTTCTGAAGAGAGAAACACGTTCGATTTTGTTCTAAATCATTTCAAATACTCCTAACCAACATCGACCAACGTTTCAACGAGCCAAATTAGTAATGCACATCTAAGATAGAATCATTCACCTTTAGATAGTACTGATAGGTGACTAGTATGTCTTGTCGCCACTTCCCCTGTTCCTCTTTGTCTTTGAAATCACTATTATACATTTGCAGAAGTTGACGATCAGATGCCTCGAGACTTTTCCACACCTAATAAAATATTGGGATGAAGATACTGAATACCTGATAAACTCTCCAATTTTATGGCACACGACTATGCTCAAGAAAAAGTCGTGCCATGCAGTGCCATGCTGCTTCGGCTCTTGTGAATTAGAGGAGGTTTGTGAGAAAAACCAAACAATCAACATATCAGTCTTCTTTTCAAGTGAAAAGCGCACCGATGTTTACAAAAACAAAACAAAAATGTGTTCCTTCCGTAAAAAACCATAACTCCAATAAGAATGGTTCTAATAAAAATATGTTCATTTTCTAGAAACAACCACCAGACTATTCGAAAAACCATCGGACTGTTTGAAAAATGGGTACGTATATTTCCCATCCAAGGTCAAGTGAAGTGTATTTCTCAAGAGCCGTCCTTAGTGAGAAACTGTCAACAATGAATGCAGGACTAACCAGCTAACACAAAACAATAAATAACTCAGTTCCAACTGTACGAGATTCCAAACTTTACATTGTTGAAAATTTATAGCAAAAACAATGTGGAACGAGGAATAGCAGAAGCAACAACTAACGAAGTTTCAACTAATCGACTAATCACACTGCAGTACCTCAAAAGAATATCGTAGCAAGTAATCCCTACCGCGACCTACCTCATCGCTTTCAAAGCGCAATCCCTCTAAGCGCCTTTCGATCTGCTTTTGACGTTGAGCCAATTCAACAGCAATCCCTTTTTCTGCTGATACGGTATAAACACAATCGCCTAACTGAGGTCTAAAGAAGAAAAGAAAGCATTGATGGTAGAACAGCGGTCATATACGTATAGAAACAGACGCTACCTGAACTCGAACTGCTTTGGAAGCATGAACGTCGCATGATGGGCTTCAAAGAAACGCTGCTTATCTGCTTTTGCATCTACCGCTGATCTCAGGGTTCCTAACTCTGCCAGGCTATCCATTTCCCTCTGGGAAAGTCGCTTACGCACATCAATTACTTGACCTTAAACGGTTGCGAGAAAAAAAGTGGTTAGTTCATGGCTTACACTTCGCAAAACTGATACTAAGAGAAGGCTGATTAATACAATTCGATTCATTATCACAAACAATCAGAATGGCCATTACTTCACCGAAACCATTTACTCGTACTCTTACTTCCTACACTTATCTGTAGCACTACGACAAGCTGCAATCCATTCTACACCTTTCCCTAATCATTACCGCTATTTGCAAAGCTTTAGCGCGAGTGGGGTTCGAACCCACGAGGACTTGCGTCCATTGGAACTTAAGTCCAACGCCTTAACCACTCGGCCATCGCGCTACACGAGACCCCTCATTGCGACGGTTGATAAGAGGCGCACTGCAATACACGGTTGAGCGTTGTTCTGCCCATTTACTCCATTTTAACCGAACCAACCATCCCTCCCGGATTGAAAAGTGAGTACCCCAGACTCGTCTGGCGGGATACAACCACTAACTTGAAATATTAGTAGGCCACCTTTAGCAACTGTATAAAGCAGATACATATTTAGGATGTTTAATAGAGTCCAATGTGTGGCACTAATAGAGTCAAATTTATGGCGCCTAAGCGATTCACCAACGATGAAAGCTTTGAGCATCCATTTTGAGCCGTAACAATCGTTATTTATGCAGATGTTCTTAGTGCTGTTAACAGTTTCCTTATTTACATGTATTCTCAACAATTTACTGTACAACCACTGTTTCTTCAATGAAGTTAATGCAGAAGAAAAATCCCTCCTATTGCCGATGAAGATCTACTCGAAGTAGAGGGTGCATGAATGACAGCAAAAAGGACAGCCCCAAGTTCATAACGTCCTGTCATTATGTGTCAGATCCTTTGTCACAAATAAAAGAATTCTCTCTGACCCAATTTCATAAGTATAAAAACTCAGTTGCTTAAAAATATGTAAACAATAGCTTTACTACCACAATGATGCTGAGATATTTGCAACACACCGGACCGCAGATGTTTGCGGTGGGGAATGAGCACACTATTACCACTTTCGGGGCAAACGAGTTCACCACCACACCATGCAGGTTCTTCGTTTCGCCTTTCTTTCAGCTGCTTTCCTATCCACCAGTGTCACCAGTGTTAAGTTGAAACTTGTTTTACCGTCAACGGACTTGACCAATGTATTAAAGTTATCCTAAACGAAATGTTTTGCTAAATGTGAACTATAAGCATTAGAACGCTTCCAGATTCCACAACTGCGGCATACGGAAAAAAACGAAACATTCAACAAAGTTTCGCCTTCATGGGTAGGAAATGAACTGCGGGACTAAAACCTAAAAACAGTCACAACCGTGTGTAACATAGCAGTGCCACTCTTCCATACATTTACCAAAAATTAGTTAAACGTTATGATTAAAACAGCTTACCTAGTAATGCTCTAGTCCAGTAATCCATACCAAGATCCATACAATCGATAAGGTAACTGAGATCTTCCGCGAAGAATCTAAATGAAATATAAACAGCTAAGCTATAAATCCATATTGAATCATTTAACACGAAAAAGAGAGATCAGAGAGGAAGAGGGAGAAACAGACAGAGAGAGACAGAGATAGAGAGAGGTAGGAAGAGAGAGAGAGAGACAGAAGAATCTCTTGAAGATGACTTCCAAAAGAGTCGATAAATTCCAGATACAGTTTTCAATAACAGTGTGTAAATGACACCAACAACTACTGAATACATTTACTGATTCCATGACAGAAAGAGAAACCGATAGGAAAAAAGGCCTGTTAGCATACATTATGAAGATGATGTTGCTTTTCCCACATTATTTAATTATTTAAAGAAACAAAACCAAAAACGACTTAACCAATAGATGAAAACACATTACAAACCTGTGTAATGCCGCATTTGCAGCTCGGATACACATCAAATACTCATTACGTCCTTTTGTACATTTGGAATGAACCACGTTATATTTATCTGCTCTCTGGAAAAATGTACTACACTAAGCAGAAACGAGGATCGAATACACGACTAACACTAGAGTGCATGAGACACTTCAATTTTTAACTAATATTTCTATACTAACATTAACACCAGTTTTACTACCAACCAAATTCTGGCACGGTATGTGCAGAACGGAAAGCGACAAAAAAAGAAAAATACGAAACTAGACTTATTCCAGATTCACTTACTTTCCTTAAATATTTGCACAAGTTGCGATACTTGCGAGTACTTTCCGCCTTTCCGGGATTGGCCTCTTCATATCGTCGTTTTTCCTCTTCAGCTATGCGTAGCTTCCTTTCGACGCCATTCATTTCCGAATAACACAACTAAGTAAATAGCAATAATAGTTGCTCGAAATTATAACAAAAATTTATTAAGAGTTTTGAAATACCAGGTAAAGCGAGAAGAAAGCAAAGGAATAAATCGACTTTACAATCGCCGTACTTGATATGTTTTCATGGCAGTGTGAAGTTCCGTGAGCACTCGATTCAATTCACTATGAGAAAGAGCACCAATCTCTCGACACTAAACTACAAGTGCTTTAGAAGAGAAGTAGCCGTCATAGAGGAGAATAAAAACTGCCAAGTAGATATAAAAGAGTACGAAACGTGAAAGACCGACAGATGCTAAGACATACGCGTTTACTAATTTTGTTCAAGTCTTCACATCTTGAACTAATACTAGCAGTGATCTGTTTGCTGTACAACTCGGCGAGCACCTGTAACTAATCAACACTGAGCTGAACAAGTATATAAAAAACACCGCAGAGTCGTACTTGTCTCTGCTGAGCCTCAGCTTTTGTGTCATCAACCAAATGTTGCCACGCAGAACATGCAGCATGTTGCGTCCAGCTATCACGTCTATAATACCGAAGCAAAATCAGTTGTAGAATATTTAAGTAACCTCGTATAGAAACAATTTCATGTCATATTATATCGTGTTACACACAATTCATTACTAAGTTACCTTTGAGCCCCATAAAGAATCTCCATCCAAGTTGAACAACTAGGTATTCAGCACTAAAGACACTATAAATGGCTGCAATCAAGAGGAGACAAGAAAATTTAATAAATCACGTACGAGCAAAATCAATGTTTTACTGGATAAAAGGAGCTCTAACAAAAATTCCTAAATTAGATTTGTATCTTCCTTTTTCCTCCTCCACTCTCATCAACAGCGAACTACTATACCAGCCCTAAATTCTCAATTAGTGAATTGGACTACAACCTAAGCTTAACTGGGTTCAATGCCGATTTGTGCTCCCCAGATCACTCCCGTTGACGATTGATTGCTTATGGCACCGTTAAGTAAAAAACTGGCCGAGCGAAAGGCAAAGAAGGAGTCTCAGAAGTGCAGTAGTGGGTGTCCCCGGAAAAGGATAATCGCGGGTTTGGATCTGGTCTGAGATCTGAGTTTAGCAAATATCTTAACTTCATTGTGGTTGTATTACACATAATACTCTGCCATGAAAAAATAATAGGCTGTAAATAAAAAGTTATATATTGTAATATGGGCGAAGTTCAGTGTTACTTCAGCGAGCCGCTGGCCTGTAGCTTGTAAATTTGAGTGGAATATTGTCTTTGCTCGTTCACTTCTCTAACTTTCCAGTTTCCACACCTATATTGCAGCAACTATCACAACACCTCCATAAATCTACGCCCAAAACAAAATGAAATAGCGGAGCGAATCAAAATAGAATGGAAAGAAAGAAAAAGAAATCGAAGACTGAAAGTAGGAAATTATTACCTTATAGAATATTATGGAGATTACGTGACCATACATAATTATTGTACATTGTGGTTGGAAGCAGTAATGATCAGTATTACTCGTACCACACGTATAACCATGCTAGTCATTTAACCGGCACCAGTAAAGCCTTCATTCGTTCGTCAAAGTGCACTCCAGAGCTGGCTACTGGATTTTCCTCCCACAAGAGACAGGGAAGTGCAATTTCTCGTACAATGACCTTCGTTTTAACTCTTTTGGGTGACAGATGATCGACGAGTAACTCGCTAGCGGTGCAATGTTACATATGTTCAGAGATCGCTTATCGGCGTTTAGCGAAACAGATATGAGTCGTATTTACTAGAAATGACCCAAAACAATGGAGTTTATTCTCTGGAACATATGTCTCAATACAAGTACTTGACCATTTCTGGTTCGCGTATAATCCACCCTTGACCAGCTTTCGTCATACATGAAACAAACTTTGCCTCTCAACTAACCAGCTGGACATCACACATAAGGGAAGTATGCTGAAAAGATAAAACACTCCTATAAATAAATTTATGTTAATGGATTACTTAGCCTTTCACCTAACCCATATCATCATTTGGTATACAACTAGAGCCTCTTATTGCGTGACTAACCATTACCTTTAAGGATGAGAACAAGTAGAGGCATTTCCGCATAAGCACAACCAACAGAAGGAAAATGAATAAACAAGAAAATTTAAGTAAAACAAAATAAAATACCTTACAACATACAAATAACAATACATGGAATATATTTTTAATTTAGAACGTCGGCACGGTCAGATCCTAAACGAAGCTATCTAATCATGTAACATAGCGAGTATTCAGATACCTCTAAACTGTGTTAGGATCCTAGTGGAATAAAGCACAGTAGCTCTCAAGAACCACTAAAGATAATGAAATAATGTGTTTTGACAATATGAACATGACCTTCTTGGATTGTTGAGCTAACGCGAAGTTGGTAAAAAGATTGAAAATGTGAGCATGTTTTCGTAGAAACTGCTTTCAACTTTCCTATATCACCTAATATCGGCACGTGTGGCGCAGTGGTCGGAGGCGCCCTGCAACACACAGGGGATCGATCCCCGCGCCAATGGCACACCAAGCCTTCAATCCCTCCCGGGTTGGCAAATTAGTACCAAACTTGTCTGGGAGGATAGCAGCACTGGCTTGATACATTAGTAGGCTACCGCGTGTCATTATAAAGGCCAGCATTCAACCACCTCCAACGGTGCCTCATGAAGTCGAATGCATGGTGCATCCCTCAGGGATTGATCAATGCCGAGATCTTCGTTTTTTTAAATTTCATTTTATTTGACCCGTCTTCACGTCTACTGTGCGGATCCCAGCTCTTCTTACACACAATTCGTTTCCTCTTAACCATCATCCACGAAGATCTTCCAACTTTACGTGTGGGTTGTTCCAGCTCCTACTTGAGGATTTTCATCTCATCTTGAACGTCGTAGGATGTTGATCGAGCAATTGTTCCTGGAGTCCTGAAATAGCCGAGCAGGAGCGTTCCCAACTGGATTGCAGAGAGTGATCTCTATATTTCTGGCGTTAGTAAACCGCACTGACAAAATTTCCGCAGTGTTCACCACGGAAGCCTGACGATTAATCCAGTAATCCCCTCCATAATGTTTACAAAGCGATAAGCCGCATTGATTACACCTACAACATTACCGGCAAATTACGAGTAACCAACGTCTACCAGTTTAATGTTTTCGCAATAAAGTAGTACCACCCGGATGCGAAACTACTCGACCGTAAGCCAGTTGGCAGTATAACGCTACGGGAGAGATTATGTGGTACCAAAGGGAGGGGAGAGGGAGGGAGGGAGAAATCGAATTTTGTTCAACATCGAATTCCTAACGCCTATTGCAACTTTCTTGAACCTACGAAATTACGAAATAGGAAAGCCTTTTTAACGCTCAATAATCAAGCCTGTTAAAACCACAATAAACGATCTCGAGGGGCAAAAAAAGAAAAAAAGAACATCCTACCAGGGTAATGTTATGGCACTTGTGCAAATCTATGTATAGATCTTTTTAAAGATTTCCAATAAGCCAAAATAAAGTGACATCATTAAGGTACAAAGTTGAAAACAATGCCATATTTTCTCCAAGCAGACGATCGCATGCTCGATAGGAATCGTAAATCAGATTTCATACATAGAATCGTAGAAAAAACCGGGAATAAATTGCCATACTCCTCTGACAGGCGCCGACTAGACGTGATGTTCGCTTACTTTACGAAAATAGGAACTCCGAATTGTTCCTGGTTAACACATTCACAACACAAAGGCAAAGGATTTTTCCACAAACGTCAGCAAGTTTTCGACAACTATTACCCTAGAACAATAACGAACTTTATAGACTTGTAGAGGGAACGTACACCTGTCTCCTAACGGTTACTATTTCGCTTTAAATTTCCTTAACTCTCAAAATCACGAATAAAACTAAAATATACTTAACTTCCTAAAGTTTCAACGCAATCATAATAGCCATTAGCAACGAAAAACTGGAGGACACCGCACTTGTTTAACTGCTTCCTTGCCCGAACACGAGCACTGACGATAAAAATCGGAAGAGAAAAATATTTGCTACTCTACGACGAAAAAAAAATCAGAACTTCTCTATGATAAAGTATGAAAACTCGCATTTTGTTAGCAAAGATCTGCAGATCCCAATGAACTTTATTCACTGAATAAAGTACACTCTGGCCCAAAACATGTTTGTGTGAAATTTAAAGGCTAAATAATCATTGGAGATGTATGCACTAAAACCGATGCGCATTGGGACAAATGCATCAATCAAGATTTAAAGCCATTAGGCTTATCAGATCTATCAGAATTCAATACACTTCAATAAGGAGCCTACAAAAAGCCGTCAGACAAAATTTTGAATAAGGCCCACTATGTCGCAGTGGGACAACACGATTGTAGATATAAATCAACACTTAGATGTTTTAGAGAAACACATAAAGTTACTAACAATATATCAGTCTGAAGGGTCAGAAATCCTTTTCATGATTTACAGACTATTGTACAAAGCAGAAAAATCACTGCAAACAGCACTTGCGGCTGTTTTCCCTCTTCTTTATCTCTCATCCTACTTCTCTTTGTTTACTCCAAAGAAACTTCTTACTCTAGTTTCGAGTAATCTGCGAAAGATCTTGTCGTACAAATTTTTCCTCAGGTAAGTTGTCTTGTTGTCACGAAAAATTTTTCTTCTACCAGTTCTTTTGCAGACTATTACACTTTCCCTAAAGAACACGAACTTTCAGCACCCGCACAGTTTACAGACCTTCTAGCAAACAATGAATTAGAGAAACTTGTTGAGCAGACAATAACTGAATCGTAGAACGACATAGTTGGCGATCATCGCCCTTCATCTATGACTACTTTGTAAAACGTCGCACTTCTCTTTTGCAAGGACGCACGAAAATGTCATAACTCTGACCTCGTTCTGTGTGCACCCAATGTTCATTTAATGATAAAAACTACAACACATCATTGTGAATGAGGTAATCAATTACGGTTCTTAGCGATCCTTTAAGCAATAGTTTTATAAAAGAAGGAAAATCAAGAAAATACTGCTAAGAATCACTCCGTAACCGCTAAGTGCACACCATGATGGTCCATTCTGTTAGACAGAGTATTGCCCTTGGCAAAGACTAATATTTCCTACTACCTTCATACTTTGTTAGATTTGAAGAACACATGATTGATGGTACATAAAAATGGAAGGCAAATTCAAAACAAAAAAAGACAAACAAAGCAATCAACTGTCTTCGTTAGATTTAATTCTGCAATACATTGTGTAATATATAGCCTCCTATAAAGCATATCACCCTGACGATAATTGTACGTTAGAACAGTAAAAAGCACTTTGACGTACCTGTTCTTTTCAGTTTTATGACGTTGCATAATACCCTTTGCAATCTTCTCCAGCTGGCGCGAATACTCCGCTTCAGCCTCTCCGCGCTTTCGAAAGAAATCATCGACTTCCTTGAATTGGTACAATATGGTACTAACAGTACGTTCTTTTGAGAACATGTGCAAAACAAAATTAGAAAATTTTAACCTGAAGAACAGCAATTTGAGTCTCCGTTCGTTCACCTATGCACCGAATCTGTTCACTTAGTTGCACACGAATCTCTGAAAAACAGATTTATACAGTTTCAAAAAACGTGTATGCTTCAAAGTCAGCTTTGTTCAGATGTTTCAACGTTCCCAAGGAAAGGCAATAAAGGTACAATGAGGAAATTCGGATTTTTCAACAATCTTAGTACCACCAAATGGACCAAAAACAAAAAAGAACCGCTTTTTTCATTTGTAAAGTCCTACAGCTCCCATTTTACTGCAAGATATCCTAATAAAATATTCATAGCACCGCAATAAATTCCTTTTACTACTTTCTTATAAATTCCAACCAAAGAAGTCGCTTCCCTCACCCCACTTCAAATCAGTTCCGTCTAAAAGTTGCACTATTACTCGATTCACACTCATTACTAAAGTGCTCAATTCGCTTTCCATTCACTACCAATCACATTGGAAAAGTTGATCTCTGTGTCGAAATCCCATTCATTTAACTCCGTAAAAGTAACTTTCACTCAACTCATATAAGCAGATGAATTGATGTAAATTCAACTTATCTTTGGAGAAAAAAATCATAAATTCTTTCCCAATGGAGCATATAGGCACGTTCACAAAAATCTGCTTAACACATGTCCACTGGAATATGAGATCGATTTGTCGGCACACCTGACCCTCCCAAAGATACGGCTTCGTCATCGCTCTCGACTCAGTGCCACCCGAGGAACACAACAGGCGCTAAGGTTGGACACCTCACTGTCTTCTAGCCGCATTGATGTCCGTCGACTCCACTCGATTATTCAGATACCCTCGGATATCAGTGGTACTATCAAACACCTGACTCGCTTAACATATTAAATATCACAAAGCTCTCAGCGTTTAACAATGCCAAAGGGACGCGTCAAGCATTCAACTTCAGTAAGCATCTTTAGAGGTGATTGAATGCATATCTGGCATACACAATGACTTGCAGTGGCCTACCGATGCATTAGGTCAGTGTTGCTATCATCGCAGCCAAGTGTGATGCCAATTTGCTGACCGCGAATGTATGAAAGGCTTGATGAGCCCAGAAAAAGGGAGTGAACCAAGATCATGAGTGCATCGCAGGATATTTATAACCACTGTACTGCACACGCATCCATACGTATGTTTTTACATAACCCGTCATTAGAACTATTGTTTTCCTCGCATTCATCGCACATAATGGTCCTCGGGCATTTCGCGTGTTGTTCCGACTGCGGTCTGAGGATTTCATCTTCTTTTTATGGATCTCGTAAAACACCAGTTTAGCCGATTCTTATTGCATTCTGGAGATAGCCGGTCTAAGGTGTTCACACGTAGATTTGAGGGAAGCGTTGGGGAGAGGGTCGAATCAGCATCTTGCTTCCTGATGATGCACTGCATCAGTGATTACTACGCTATTCTCTAGTCAAAAGATTTCACACAATAAAATAGTGGCCAGAAAACAATCTATGGATGTAAGTCCTCGACATCCAAATAATGGAATCATGAATTGTTTTGCATCCAGAACTTTCTTTTTAATAAGGCTGAGTAACTTCGCCCCCAAAATTGCACTCTCTGAGAATGGAAAAATAAATAGATTATTTAACGATTTCATCGAAGAGCTGCTCTCAATGGCGTACTGAGAAAATGTGCTGGTTTGCACTGTTATCTAGGTGAAGCGAATGCGGAGTAGCGGATACTCGAACCAGTTATACGAACGGAACATCATTTTTAAAACTGTTGAGTTCAAAACATAAAACTCAAAAGTCAGTAAGTTCACAAAATTCTCTATTCGAAAAGCGAATAAGTGATCAAATTATGCTAACTTAATTCATGGATTCAAAGTGCACTCTATTCTGTGACAAAACAGGAACAAAACGTGAACCCAATCAAAATCGATAAATAAGTGAGCATATGCTTTGGTGAAAACATCTACACAAAAATTAACTGCGAAAGATAACTGCTAACATGTTCCAGAATGATAAGGTTGTGATCTGAGTGAGTCCAGCTATTCAATCACCAAGGTTTTTATTTAATGACGTATTGAAGACATCTTATTAGAAAACTGATCAACGACAGCTGAAAGTGTTTTGCACTCTGAAGAGTTCCATGATCAGCGGACTATCATCCGAAAATCCAAGCCCACGTATTGACTTCATGCAAGTAGTTTTTGACGAAATCAACATCGCTACACTACAAATTCATAACCTACTGCAAAATAAATGGTATCAAACTTTGTCACCAGTCAAAGTAACAAACAAATCAAACAGGTTAATCAAAAACTTTTCGAAAATCCATACAACCATAGGAAGTGATATGTTAGCTAACCTTGAATATGAATAAGTTGCTGGTCAAGTGTTAACGATGCACATAGCGGCAACTTGAGGCTCATCGCCAACAACAATCGTCAACGGGACAATCGCAGACCCAACAACAACAGTCGTGATCCGAGTCGAGTATACAGTAGATAAACTGAGAAGATTAAGTGGGTTTCTTGTGCTCGTTAAACGACACAAACACACGAGAGTGTCTGTCTCTGGTTTACGTCGTCGTCTACTGACTGGTGTCCGTCTGTTCGATGTGGAAATGTGCAGCAAAGAGAATGAGAGAACGAGAGCGCGCACTACATTACATCACAATTGCGCCGCCTATGTGCCTTACACTTAAACTTTCAACAACAAATTTATAGAAACCCTAGCTAAGTATTAAAGACTTTCCAATTTCACCACCAAAAAAAGAAACCCTAATAATACCTTAGGCCACATCCATCAAATGAATCACGCGCACTATAACAGAGGCAACCTTAGCCTTCACGCAATGCATATCTCGATTTTCCACCAAAGGTCTTGGCCATCCAGCCCACGAACGACAAATTGAAATACAATTTCTATACGAAGTACGTTTCACATGAAGTACCGGACAAAGAAATATATCAAAACTCTATGAAATAACCGGAAGCAAGCATCCTCCATAAGCCTTCGATTCAGATTTCATGAATAGATTTGCTTAACTAATCTATTATACGCTGATTCTATACGCAAACAGCAACACAGAAGAAGGATAGTGTAAATGAGACGAGGAATTACTCCGTGTAACCATAAAGAATAACCAGAAACTAATAAATCAGCAAGCTGAGAACCGATTTATGCCACATCATACACACCCCAGCAAGCCACCACGACTTTCCCCTGTAAGGAAAAATAGAAAAATGAAGGTCATAACTCTAAAAGTGTGATACTTCCATCTTCCATTAATCGACTAGAGTTATATTGAGCGGCTCTGGTGCACGAACAATACAAAAAGAATTACAAAAAAGCTGATAAATCATCTACTAGACAACTGTCTTAGGTTTGAATACATTAAAAAACATACTAAATCGTCAATATATAAACTTACATTCACATAATGCGAATCGGAAAATGTTAGCGATTGCAAAAGTTAAGAAATGAACATGTTCTAAGAGTTGACACTTAAGACGAACAAACTGTTTAAACAACATAGATTACCTCAGTGATGTTGAGATATTCACAAAACTCCGGACTGCAGGTGTCTGCGGTGAGGAACGAACGCGTTATTACCCTTTCCGGGAGATGCGGGTCTTTCGTTTCGCCTGTCTCTCAGCTAGTTCTATCGATCTTTTACCATCGGCAACCACCCCTCAACGGGATTGATCTGGGGAGCCCAAATAGGCAGTGAACCCAGTTAAATAGTGGCTATAGTTATAATCACAATTTTAACCTTAAGATTAATCTTAATCTTAACCTTCTTATCTACTGGAGGAAGTCTATCTATTGGAAGTCACGAAAAAGCGGCTCTGAAGAAGGCGATACTGCCGAAACGTCAGCTAGCGTTGTATTGTATTGTGTTTTTATGGAAGTAAGTGTATGCTGTTTAAAAACCTCGCGATTGCTGAACAAGAAAACGACACATTCATATTCCAATGCCGAGGTTAAATGTATGCTGTTTAAAAACCTCGCGATTGCTGAACAAGAAAACGACACCTTCTTATCTACTCCACTATTCTAGTAACGGAGATACCACAACCTTTGTCCAAGAACCGGCTATGCCACGAATGTGTTGAGCGAAAAATACGAACTATTAGAATTTCCAAATCTTCGCCAACAAGCTTTCATTGATCAAGCTCTAAGGGATGTTCCATGCATTCATCTTCTCAAGAACGGTTAGAGTGATTGAATACATACCTATTGTATACAATAATTTGCAATGGTCTACCAGTACTCCAAATAAGTGACGTTATTATCCTTCCAAACAAGTCTGATACCAACATAGCGATCTTGAAGGGATGGAAAACTTAGTAAGCCTGAGACGTAGGAGTTAACTAAGGACTACACGTGTATTACAAGGCACCTTTATCCACTGCACTATTCGCGCCCTCTCGTCGACAAGATATACGTTTAATTATTCCAGGAAGATGAAATCGGACGCTCCTAACGTCTATGGATTGCTTGTTTCTCTTTTTAGTCGGCGCTCATCTCTGGAACACCAAAGTGATTAAACCAGCGAGATTTCGTACATCTGGATGCTATAGTGTCCCCAAAAGCGTCTTTAATACTGGCGGCTGCTGTGCTTACATGAAAATTCCCAATTTTTCTTTAGAGCGCACTGGAATCAACTCCCAAGTCTCAAGTCCAAATTTGAGTTCATTTCAATTTCTGTTTTTATAGTGATTTCTTCCCAGACTTTTTTATTTATTCATGTTAGAACTTACTATTAAAATAAATGCGGAAAGCAGTTCAACCGAACGAAAGAGCGAAAAAGCTGTATGAAATACACAGAAAGTAAAACAGTCATATCGTAACGAACGAAATACACTTTTCGTTTGTTTGCGATGTAACAAAACGACCCGATTCTCAAAGGAATTGTAATTAATGACTTCAAATGGATACTCTACAAGAAACGACGACGTTCCGCGCATTGCTGGATAATGATGGATCACCGGGATACTGTCCAATATGAAACACCCATTATAAACGGTTGCTACGAACTTTTTGTGCTCATCTGATGAAGCCATCGTTACAATTCATT